TGGTGTGCTATCAATTCCAAACCAGTGAAAGTCAATTACCCAAGTGTTGGTCTAGCTAATAGAAGATAAAATTACTTGTTAAATTTGTGTTTTCACCTCTGACAAATTATGGAGAGTTGTAATACACTCCTTCAACCGAGGCATAATATTTTGACCAAAGTATTAAACCGAAAGACACATGGTTGGGATTCTTTCGACCCAACATTTTAATTGAAGTGAAGTTTTGGATTCGACGAGGATTTGTCAAATTTAAAAACAGTACTACTAGTGTTGATATAAAATTTTTTCCTAATTAATGGTGATATAATTTGAAGTGTTATACCCTTTTTTTATTCTACAATTTTGTGTGTGTGACAGAGAGTGTGAAGATGATGGGATTTGAACCCCATTTATTTGCTTCATTTCTAATTAGGCTAGAAGGATGATAGTATATCCTGAGACACTCATTCACATATCGTTTTCGATTGTACATTGACAGTGGAGTCTATCTCACCTAACAATTAAGAAAAATAATATATAGTTTAATTGTCGGACTTCATATTATTACTCAACAATTAATGAATAATAATACAAATATTTCTCATTATAATTTGACTGCAATTTTTGTAATTTCTGATAGGGTATTAGTTCAAATGGTGGACTGTCGAGTCCAAAACACTGAAATCCAGCAACCAAGTGTTGATTTAGCTAATACAAGATAAAATTATTCTTTAAATTTGTGTTTTCACCTTTTAATGAATTTTTAAATAGTTGTGATACACGTCCGTAACAGAGGGATAACACTTCAACCAAAGTGTTGGGCCGAAAGTGTCCCACCCTTGGAATGAGCCAAGTGAAACTCCTGATTTGGATGTTTTCGACCCAACGCTTTAACTGAAGTGAGGTGTTCGGTCTTACAAGTATCGCCTCCCCCCTACTCACTCCACTACCTTTAGGTAAGTAAATTAAGATCACAATTTTCATTATTTATGCCAGGAGTTATGGATATGGATACTTCACTTAGAGTGTCGTGGACTCAAATATGCATGAGACACGCAGAAACATGTCAAACATAGCTAGAAGTATTCTAAATTTTGAATACTAATACTTTTGAATATTTTACTTTCTAATTGAATACACCTAAAGCATAACATATACCAGTTTTGAATATTTCCATAACACGAATCATACGATGGGATAATTTGTAATTATTTTTAAATGAATAGGATTCAATGCAATTTAAAATATATTACAAATTAATTTAAAAAATAATATAAAAATAACAAAAATAATAAACATCTAACTATAATCTTCAAATTGTTGAATGGGTCAATTGCTTTTTAGGGTGTATGCGACTGTCAGTGTTGGCTCAATCATTAAGCAATTGAGACTGCTGCCTAAGGCTCAGTGATAAAAACATTTTGAATTCAACCCGAATATTTATCTCCTCCTTATTTTTCTACATCTTTTCATTCTTCGAGGATTCTTCTTCTCACTATTATTATTTCTTTTCTTCTTTTCTAGACTGCTTTTAAGTGGTTAATTGAGTAAACTATCTAAAATATATAGACTTAATAAATATAACAAAAGTAAACAAACATTTTTAAAAATTTTTCGCTTTAGGCCTCAACATCCAGTCATCCACTATTAAAAAGAATTAGTCGAGAACACGAAACTTTCGATTTTTATCATGAAATTTGAGAAGAATCACATGTATTTGAGAATAAGACTCAAATGTAGCAACTTTAATATTCTGAATTACAATTTCATTAGCGCTATCCCATTCAAGTGTCCAGCCCAATACTGAATTGGCCCATATCATGGGCTTTAATGGGCCACAAGTCTATAAAGGGTCCATAAGTTGTACCATTTTGACCCACTATCGTAAGACCCCTGCAAATGAATCAGATCAGCCCAGTACGATGTGCTTGTAAAGAAAAAGCCCTTAGGCTAACGGTTAGGATTATATGGATATAAGGTCACATTCGTGTTTAACAAAAGCCCATGAAGTGATGTTGGGGCAGGTGAACTAGGATAATGGGAATACAATGAGATTTTCCTAAAGTTGATCATTATGAGTGTCACGATGAATTTGACTAGGAAGTTCAATGGCAAAAACAGTAACGCGTTAACCTAATTATGATGATGCTCCAGAATCTTTTGGGTTGTCAACTCAAAGTGAAGGGATTATAAGTGGAGAGAAACCTTTCCGGTATAAAATAACGTTATAATGGAAACTCTCATCGTGAGTACACTCTTTTTTGTTGTTAACTAGAATTTTTTTTAGAACAAATCGTTGAAAGAGAATACTCTCAAAAGTAAGAGAAACAAGTATGCTTGATATTGCTGTAAAAAATGTAGAGGGCCCCACTGTTTTTTTAGCTCTTCTCTCTTTCTTTCCCAACCAACACCATATTGATGAATTGGACTTACGGCAAATATGGAGAGTCACATAGCCCAATTAGGTGATATAGCTAATTATATTCATAAAAGTGGAGAGTCTAAAATAGACTCTCCATTTTAGATGCTCATAACATTAGCAATTTTTTTCAAAGCCATAAAAACCTCTTCTGCTCAAGAACTACTACACGCACATGTGTGAGAGAACGAGAAGAGAAAATGTGTTACCATCTCATCTACGACTAGGCAAAAGATGGAGTGCCTCGTACTTTCATCTTCCCATATTGAGGGGCAACCTCTTTTGAGAGCCAATGGACCAATAAGTCAATGTTCTATTTCAAATGGTCATGAGTTCCCACTTAAATCGAAAATGGAGTCAAAAACTAAAAAATGTAACTTCCACAATTTGAAATTTCTTTAGTATTTGGTATTCAAAAATATTTGTTTCTAGAGACAACGTTTTCAAATGGGAATACAAAGCTTTGTTGAATTACGAGGACACATTACATAAGCATGTGAGAAGTCTTTTATGGAAACTTAGAATCACTTATCAAGAACATTTGACATATTAACGAATATTTACTTTTATAAGCTCCCCTTGACCATAGGTTAATCCATCCTATTATTCAAAGGCATGCTTTGAAACTACACCACCAACTTGTTGCAAAATAATAATAATAATACTAAAATCAAAATTACACAACCAACTCATTGAGGACACACAAATAAACACAAGCACATGTATATGCATATAAAGGTTAGTCTTTATTATGTCATTAAGAGATTTGGGAAGGATCAATGTACATAAGGTTAGTCTTTATCATGTCATTATGAGATTTGGAAAAGATCAAATGTACGCGATCATATTTTCATATGCAATTAGGTTGTTTCCGGATTTGAATCCGTAACCTCCATTTATGTAAGGTTTGAGAAAGATCGTTTGCACGAGTCTCACTTTTACATGCGCAGAGAGGTAGTTTTCGACTTCGAATCTCTAGCTTCTATTTACTGTGAGGTTTGAAATGGATCGATTAAATACACGCAGTCTCACTTTTATATGCAAAGAAAGAATTTTAAGATTTCAAATCCATAATCTCCTGCAAGGTTTAGAAAAGATGGGATGCAGTCTTACTTTCACATAACATACAGAGAGATGGTTTTCAACTTTGAATTTTTAGTTTCTATTTAATTATTATAATATTTGAAAAGAATCAGATGCATCTAGCCTTAATTTTAAATGTAGAGAAGTAATTTTTGATTTCAAATCCATAACCTCCGGCAAGGTTTGAAAAGAATGGAATAAGATGTCGATCTCACTTTCACATCCAAAAGAAGTTATAAGTATTTATCACCTCCCAAATTCCCAATAAATATAATATAATATTACAGACATTTCCATGGTATATAAAAAGGAAAATACCAGTATAATATAATATAATATGGAGAGAATGCTATTCTTTGGTGGGACCCAAGAACTTGTGGTCCAAGCCCTACTGCAATGCCATTAAATTTGAACTTTCAACAAGATGATATTCTAATGACTCACCGAAGTCTACATATACCTCCTATGCCAGACTTTAACTTCGCCACCGATTTGCCCATTCATTTTAGGATCACGAATCAATTTGTTTCTAGAAGCTTGTCAAAAGCACTTGTCACATCCCAAGCCAAACCTCTAGGAAAACTCTCCATTTATGGACAAAAATGTGAAGAGAATATTGGTCATCCCTTTGAAATAGTCCACTTCAATGAAAAACATGCCCTTCAATGCTTTTTCTTTTTCTTTTTTTTTTTTTTTAAAAAGAAGAAGCCCTCCAAGCTTTAAATACAGTGCATTTACAGTTGGTTAATTAATGATCAGTAGTATTAATTTATATTAACTTGACTGAGTTGTTCTATTAATATAAGGAGTATTATTGATGTGAATAATTATTACTATAATGATAGTAGATTCAAATGTTTTCATACATTTAATATTCAACTAACATATGCTCGTTAATTTTTAACCCAAAAATAGAAAACATACTCTTTTTTATGTTTAAATCGGTACATCCAAAATGGCAAAAGAAGACAGATACAGATTGGTTGAACTTATTAATTAGATGGCAGTCCCATGTAATTTACTTTTCTCCACAATTTTTATCAAAATAAACAATTTAATAAAAATAATGGTTGATCTAAACCATGATGAAAAAGATATTTATAGACCTCAAAAAGCACTTTAATTAAATGAGATACAATTAAATTGTTGTCTATTTTTTCATATGTACTTTAAAAATAGAAATTCATTCCACAAATAATTTTTTAATCCACAAATAAAAGAGGTAATGGCAACAAGTAATTTTTTACCTAACTCTATAGAACTACTTAAAATATCTGTCTCAATTAGGAAAATGATGTGATTACACAAATATAAATGATTGACCTCGTAGTCTCTTGATCCGACGGCTGTGAGAGCTTCGTGATAAACGAAAGATTTCAAGTCTGAAACAGGAAAGCAGCCAAATATCCACGTGGCTTGCTAAGATCAAAAGCTGACGTAATCACTAACATACTAATCGACGAAAACTCATAGAAGGTCCCATTTGGCACCGGCAAAGTCAGAGCACAGAGTCTTTGTCTTGAGTCACACGATGCCACCCTCACCTTACATTTTCTCTCTCTTTTTGTATCTTTCTCTCTCTATATCTATACATTTACATGTTTACAAACTTTATATATGCGTATATATAACTCTATATACACAGATATATATTTCTTCTACTCTTCCTCCTGCACCACAACGCTGTCTCGGCGCATATTAGCAAACACTTCAAAATCGAAAGAAAAAAAAAATCAACAATCAGTACCTTGAATTTGTTACTCTGTATGTAGCTTAGCACCATGAGCAGCGACGAGAAGATGAAGATGATGAACAATCGCAGCCGTCCGATCACCGGCCTATTCGGTTCCCTCTACACCGCGCAACATGCGATCCTCACTACTTTCTCTCTCTACCTCCTCCTCTCCACTGCAATTCCATCCGTCGGAGCTCAGCCGACGGGAACCGACACACAGTACCCGTACACGAAGTTCAGCCCGTCCATGGCGATCATCATCGTCGTCCTCATCGCTGCGCTCTTCATCATGGCCTTCTTCTCCATCTACATCCGCAACTGCTCCAACGGCGGAGAGAGCGTCGGCGTGCTCGCCGGCATCAGCGCCTCCATGCGCGGCCGACGCGGCGCCGCAGCTGCGCGCGGCCTCGACCCGGAGGTGATCGAGACCTTCCCGACCTTCGCCTACTCCGTCGTCAAGGGGCTCAAGATCGGGAAAGGAGCTCTCGAGTGCGCAGTGTGCCTCAACGAGTTCGAAGACGACGAAACGCTGCGTTTGATCCCCAAATGCGATCACGTGTTCCACCCCGAGTGCATCGACGAGTGGCTCGTCTCTCACGTGACCTGCCCCGTCTGCCGAACCAACCTCGTCCCGCAACCCGGCGAGTCTCCGCGAGTTCCAAACCTAGAAGCTGCTGAGCCAAGTCATATAGCACTAGACGTTGAGAACACGCAAAACGGCGACGTGTCTTTACCGGTAATCGACGATCATGATGTGAATGTTCCACAGCCTCAGGTGGTGGATCGGAATAAGAGTGTGAATCAGAACCGTCCGCCGAGATCGAGATCTGTACGGGCGAGATTGTTCGGGAAGTTCCCGAGGTCGCATTCGACCGGGCATTCACTGGTCCAACCGGGGGAGAACACGGACCGGTTCACTCTGAGGTTGCCGGAGGATGTGAGGAAGCAGGTGATGAACCGGGCGTTGAACCGGACCAAGAGCTGTGTGGACCGTTCGGTGCTGCTGCCGAGAGAAGGGAGTTCGAGGAGAGGTTACCGAACCGGTGGTGAGGGGAGTAGTAGGGGGAGACGCTACAGGCGTCTCGAGAGTTTGGACCGGGCGGCAAAGTCGGACCGGTGGGTTTTCTCTATTGCACCGCCGTTTTTATCAAGGGAATCGTCGTTTAGGTCGCCTAAAGTGGTGGCGGCTGACGGCGAGGGGACGTCGGTGTCGACCGTTAAGACGGCGTCTAATGGTCTGGACCGGAAGAATGGCGATGCTGACTCGGCTCGGCCACCGGTTTAATGGTCAAATTTTGTTTGCCACGTTTTTGCTATTGTATTATTTATATAAAAAGAGTAAGGGTCATTCAGGCCTAGGTCGAGGCCCGTACTGGGCCCACAGTGAAAACAGTGGCAGTGACCAATTCAATATTTGCCTAGTTTGATGACTACGCCTTAAGAATATATATATCTATATATATATTTTTTTTCGGTCTCGAGTATTTTTGTGTGTATACGATGTAAATTATTCAGAATTTTTCTTAACGTCGTTTGTTTGTTTTATTTATTTATTTTAGTTTTTATGTTAATTTATTCAACATTGTCCAATCTTTTCAATGTTGCCGTTCAATTAATTAAACTTGGTCAAGATAATGTTTGATTTTAAAGCGATAAGAATGAAGCTAACTTCATGTGAGAAGTGAGTAGGTGTATCATTATTTTTATCTAAATCTCCCTATATAATGAAACCCCACCTCTCAAATTCTCAATACAATTTTCTTTTGCACTTGTTAGGTGAAGTAAGAATTCACATTGTGTAACACACTCTTTTACATATTATATAAAGATGTCAACTTCTTGTTTATCGTGGTGGGCTTTTTCTTCATTTTTAATCTTACTTTTGTGTGTTTCTTCTTTTCTGAATTTTTAACTTTCTTTTGTTGGTCTATTTGTTACCCTTTTAACTTTTGGATTGGTGTCCTCGCGCTTTTGTTTGTATTTTCATTATTTGTGATTTAATTTTAAGATTTTTGCGTTTCTAATTTTAAATTCGTTCTTACTCTCATTCTGACTTTATGTGACTCTAATTAATAACTAATGTTATTTTTCATATAATTCATCTTAGTATTTTAAATTGCCTTTTTTTTTTTTTTTTTGGGTGACAAAAGGAGATGTAAAATTACAATATAATAGTACCACACCATTTAACCATAAGATCACTTGACATGATCCCACATCAAATAATTGTGCAGCTACGGAGGCAATCGACAACTATTTTGATTCTTTCGATTCTACCATTTTGATTCGATTAGCCTATCATCACTCTATATATGTTATATTGGCTTCGTATTTAGAAAAGATGTAAGGTACAAGTTACAACATGAGATTGAAATGGCTTAAATTGGATAAAGCAAATACTTGACACTCAGTGAATTTGCTTTTTAGTGTAAATTGTGAAGAGGACTTCTACCAGAAGTGTTTGGATGCTTCTAAAAGCCTATTTAATATAGAAGCTTGCCTTGTCTTAATTTGGAAACTTATATCGCCATTTGGAAGTCTCATCGCATACACTAGAAATTTTGTTGGTCTACTGTAAATATTTGATTGGTCAACGTATTTTACATTTTTTTTTTTTTTACAAGGCAAGAAAACAAAGCAACACAACCAACCACAAAGAACACATAGGGCAATCCACAGCTGCCAACTGAATCAAATGCACGGGAAGCTCTTGAAGAACTTGATCCACGAGAAGAATAGACGTAGAAAGCTTAGCTGTTTCATGAGCCAGACGGCTCCCTTCCCGTATAATGTATGAATAGATTTAGAAAGCTTAGCTGTTTTATCAACCAGATGATTCCCTTCCCGTTTAATGTATGATAATTTTGTTTTCGGAAAGCAGTGAAAAACAGACTTAATATAAAAAATAATGAAAGAAATATCAGAAGGACAAACCTGCCTACCATTAATCGTATCACACACCACCCAAGAGTCACATTCAAATCTACTAAAGTTGAAACGTTGAGCCCATTCCACTGCAGCCCGCAACACCCAAGCCTCCGCCATAAGCAGTGTTGCCGCGGGAAATTGCTTAAGCATCATCAATTTTAAAATGGACCCATTATTGACTCTAAAAATGACTCCTTCTCCCGCCAAACCTTTGGAAGCCAAAAAAGAGATATCAACATTACATTTTACTATGTTTGTGGGAGGAGGAACCGTATTATCGGAGACTCCACCCTCCATCGAAGCAACAACAACACTCACTGAATTATTAACATTAGCATTCATAAGCCTGTGATAAGCAGTCACTGCCTTTCGAACCACTTGATTTCTGGCCTTCCAAGTGCACAGACTGCAAACAAACTTCTAAGCTGCAGTCTAGTAGTCCCACCTACAGTGCCATGCCCAAAGAATGACACCATGTCGCAAACGACGAAACGGACAAAGAGATTAAATCAAAACGAGGAGGGAACAACTCTCATACTTGAAGAGCAAAAGAACAACGAAACATGAGATGCTCCACCACCACAAACATGGACAAACCGAATCGAAGGACAGACCTCTCCTATTAAGAGCCTCTTTAGTAGGCAACATATTTTACTTTCTACCGAAGTGTCTTTGGTTCAATGGTATAACCTCCTCATCTTCAAAGAAGAGAGGAGAGGTTCGAATCCCAGCGTGGGCAAAAAGTGTGTGTGTATGTTTGCTTTACTAAAAAAAAAAAAAAAAAAAAAAAAAAAAAAAAAAAAACATATTTTACTTTCATAAGTATGTATTTTACTGGTGAACATACGCAAAAAAAAATGCCTTCTACTGGTCAACATATGTTATTGACATATTCAAATACACATAAACCAATAAAAAAGGCGGGATGGAGGATGATGTTGATGAAATCAATCAGATAATGATTTGAAGGATTAGAGAATTTATTTACTTACGGCAAACCTAAATTAGCACCAACTTGAGTTTACAAATGAATTATTTAAATAATCTTGCTCCATCTATTAATTAAAATATCATAGAAATGTCAAATTGGTGTTAATAACTAACTCATACTTTATACTTCGTTTAATATGAATGAAGAAAATTAAATAAAAAAGTAAGAATAAGAAATACTCCCTGGATGATATTAATATCTTTTTTTTTTTGATTTAATGGAAGAGAAGGAAAAGAAATAAAATATTAATTTATTTGTTAAAAGAGAAATGAGCAGAGGGTTTACTGATTATTAATTTATCTAACAATTATAAAGAATAATGTCATAATTAAAATTTTAATAACAATCTTATTTAGTTTTCGTCCATAATCGCCTTACTTATTTTCTATTTATATTATAAAAATTTATAAAGTATTAAGAATGATTCATGCATATATATATATATATGGATATATATATATATATCACTTTCTTTATTCTCTACTAAATCAAGCAAGTTAGTTTTTCCTTACAGCTTTCCTCCCCTCTTCCTTCCCATCTACCAAATCAACCATTAAGAAAATAAAAGAGAGAATGTTTTAATTAATTATAGAGTCTAATTCAACACTTATCGGACTAACCTAAAAATGAACGGATCAAATCGGACATTGTAGCGTTCGGCAAGTCCCAATAGATTCGGCCTGTGACAGACGGTGGGCCCGCACGGCCCAAAACGGTTCGTGAAAGAAACACTTCCAGCATCGAAAGTTTGCACATAGCGAAGCAGAAAGAAGCGAGAAATGGAGGAAGAAAAATATTTAGATCAGCCGAAAGAGAAGAAGAGTGCGTTCGTTATAAACATCCCATCATACCAAGAAGTCATCGATAACTCTCAATCCAAATCCAAACCCTCTCTCTTCAACCCCTCACCCTCCTTCTCTCAAGCCTTCAATTTCGTCAAAAACTCCGAATTCTACACTCCTCCGCCACCGCCTCCTTCCTCCGCCGCCGACACCTCTTCGAGGTCGTCCTTTCGTTTCGGACTCTGCTATTTTATCTAATTGTGTTTTGTATTTGTGTTTGAGAAATTGATTGGGGAAATTAGGGCTTTTGGTTTGGTTATTTGAATTTTTGTGCTCGGTGTTTTTGTTTGATTTTTTTAGGCAAATTGGTCGACCGGAGATTGTGTCGTCATCGACATCGGTTTCAACTACTACTGCTGCTGCTTCGTCATCGTCTTCGCATAGTGCTCAAAATCGTAATGCCATTCTTGTAAGTCATAGACAGGTCAGTTTCACAAACACACATTTGTATATAATATACATACACACACAGAAACGTAGGATTTGAATGATTCAGATAGAAAAGAAGTGAATTTCGTTACACTAATTCAAAATTGAAAATGGGTGCTTCTGTACATTTAGCTCCAAGTTTAGCTACTTATTGTTTTTTTTTTTTACTCCTTGTTCTGGCTTCCAGAATTGATTATTTATTTATTTATTTAATTTTTTCTATTTTGTGTTCTCAAATATTAATATATGCCTGTTTTTTTATTTTTTACGAATTTCAGTTTAGCTATTAAAGTTTAGGCATCGGTTACTGTACCTTCTCTCTATGTTAGACACTACAAAATTAATAAAGTAGTGATGAGTTGACATGATATATAAAGGCACTGGTATAGGTTAATTGTTAGAAAACTTGTTATCAACTCGACTCTTCAATTGGTGAAGAGAAGAAATACAAATTTTATGTTCACTTGGTGTTATATAGAATTATTTATTTTTTGTTTCTATGATTTTGCGTAAAACCGGCTATCCTATTGCTGAAGAAGAAGGAAAATGGAACTCTTACTGAAGTGAACTCTAAAAGAGTCTCCATGAATTGACTTTCTCTTTGGCTTTAGAGGAATTCTGATTCATATTCCTATGCTACTTCAATTATTTTAGACGAGTGTAAAACCATAGTAGCTACATTTATAACAAGATTGGCACTTAAAAGAATCTATCAGAGTTTGGACATCCTAAAATTTTGAGTTGGATCCGGTATTACTGACAACTGCAAGGCGCACAATTACCCAAACACATTCATCTAACTTTTTTAACCAACTTGAATCTAACACTTGTTAATCTTTTTCCTTCAAATGCAGAAGGGAAATCCTTTGCTAAAGCATATAAGGAACGTGAGATGGGCTTTTGCAGATATTATTTGTGACTACTTGTTGGGGCAGAGCACCTGTGCTCTTTATCTGAGGTCTGAATGTCCACACAATCTGTTATATTCCTATTTTTCCTATGAAATTAAAATGGAAGGTGAGAAGGTCTCAGGAAACATCTTTAGAAGACTTGACAGGTAGCCAAACTATCATGAGTTGCAGTATAGAATTAGCCAGAAGCATGCATTTTTTTGTTTTTTTGTAATCCTAGCTTTTTTAGGTGTCCCAAAAGATTTCACCCCTCCCTCGTCCCTCAAGGGGGAGAAAAAAAGAACAAGAGGAAAGGCTCAAGAAACTACACCGGAGATCCTCAAAGCTAAGTCTGGATAACTTCGCTAATTTGCACCTGAATTCTATTGACCCCACCTCTTTATGGAGTGAGAAGCTGTGTGTATGTTTTTGTGTCGCTTGCCAATGCTAGCTGTGAAATTCGAGATACATCTCTCTTTTGTTATACTTTTTTGTTCTACACTTCATTTCCAAGTCTTGGAGGACACAATTAGGATCCCTTAGAGAATTTGTGTAATATGAGTAGCTAAACTGTCAAGCACACAAGTGATACACATATTATACCTCAATATGGCATCAACTTGCCTAAGTTACAGAACTGCTGTTCAGGCCGAAAATATATTTATATATTGCATTAATTAGTAAATTTTATCTGATGCATGTTGAACCCCTCTTGTATTTATTATCGTGATTAAGTTCTCTTTCAAGCAGTCTTCGGTATCACCTTCTTCATCCAGACTACCTTTACTATCGAATAAGAGAATTGCAGAAGAACTTCAAGCTTCGTATTGTTTTGTGCCATGTTGATGTTGTAAGCCCCTTCACCTAGTCATGAGCTTTTCATGCCTTGCTGTGACATTTTCCTTATTTTGTGGGTTGCTGCACAGAATCTGCATATGATGCAGAAATTAATATATTTCAATTATGTTTTTCATTTAATTGAAGGAATTAACTGCTTATCGTCGTCACTGATTCCAGGAGGATGTAGTTAAGCCTTTACTTGAAGTCACGAAAACAGCTATGCTTCATGATTGCACCCTTTTATGCGGTTGGAGGTACCTTCCTAATGTGATCAAAATAATGAAAAAGAAGTGGTTTTATTTTACACAAGCTTTATTTTTGCTTGCAACTGCCCTTGTTATTTCATCATTACAATATAATGTTACTCTTTGATCCTTCAGAATATTATGTGAAGTTTTGGTAGCGAATTTTATGAGTAATTAATTGAAACTCAGATTGTTGCAAGTGACACATGATTTATTTTTTATGAAAAGAACGTGTTTGTCTCTTGAAATTTATATTAAAAATAACATTTTTTTTTTTTTTTTTGATGTAGTTTTCTCTTTAAAGATCATTACTAAAACAAATGTTCTAAAATTTATCTGAAGGTTGAGTAATGGATGAACAACATCATGTTATATCTCTACAAACTTACTTAGCTTCTTTATTCTTTTGTTCTAGCTTGGAAGAATGTGGTAGGTACTTGGAAACCATAAAAGTTTATGAAAACAAGCCTGCCGACATTATTCAGGGGCAAACAGATACAGACTATTTATCACGGGTATCTTTATTATTAAGGTCATTTTTCTAGTGGTTAAGTTTTTTGGTTGAGAAGTTTTACATGTTAATTTGGGATTTTAATTATGTGCTTTTCTACGAAATAAACTATAAAGTGGGTTAGATGCATAGTTCTTTGGATTTGGATTGACTGAATGGAGATGAACTTCTCTCTGGTTGTAGCTTACGAATGCTTTAACTACAGTCCGACATGTTAACAAGACTGATGTGGTCACCCTTGGTTCTACATTTGGGGTATGCCTTCATTATTTGGATTTGCAATGAGCTATTCAGAAACATTCCTTTATTTTCTTTTTGTGATCCTCTGTGACTTGTTGTTTTATCATTGCAGTCCCTTTCTCACATCATGGATGCCTCTATGGAAGATCTAGCTCGTTGCCCTGGCATAGGAGAGCGCAAGGTGTATTTTCTAATGTTTTCTCATTTGTTCTTTTCATTTTTATTATATCCCATTTGTTCTTTTCATTTGATTATATCAACATTTAAGGGCATACCTATTCTGTCTATGCAACTGAGCGCATTTGTAATCTAATGCAACATCTGGATAATCTGGCTGAGTTCTCTGCTGTTAATACTGGTTTATGACCACACATTTATATAAAATGAAATTAGAACGTTTAAATTGCTAAATTTCAAACACCTGAGTTTTCATTTATTTTCTAGGTGCTTGCACTATGTCTTGTCATTTTATTGATATTATACAAGACCTTACCACATTACTGCAACAGTTTTATTGATTTTCTATATAGGGCCAAGTGAAAGAATTCCCTTTGGTACCTTTTTATATTTCTTTTTCTTTAATTTTTTTTTTTTTCCTTTCGTTTTTGTGACTTGGTAATCAGTGGTATTCTCTATGATGTTTGGATCAGGTAAAACGTCTGCATGACACTTTTCATGAACCATTCAAGCGAGTTCTTCCCAGCCGCCCTTCTGTTCCAGAAACTCCTGGCCAGAACAACGTTGAACCTCACTTGGTGAGTGAGGGAAAAGAAGATGACAAGGAAGCTGAGGAAACAAGCAAACGCAGTAAGAAAGAACCAGAATTGAACATTAAATTAGCTTTGTCTGCTGCTTTTGCCAAGTTTTCCGATAAAATTGGTAAAAAGGACAATAGATCACAATGTGAAAAGGGTGAAGATACCAGTGTTTCCGTGGACGCAAATGCAAAGAACAAGGATATCAGTGAAGATGCTGTAAGTTGACTTAAGCTAACCTTAAACATGGAGATAAGATAGATGGAGATTCTACTGCTTTTGAGTTTTTGCATTTGGGAAGAGAATGGATATAGGCAAGTTGTACCCTCCTCAGAATAGCACAGTGAACAAGTTTGTTTATGTTTCTAGGAATTTTTTTGATCTTCGTCTTCTTCTCTCTCCAAAATTTGTTCAGATTGGGATCTTTCATGGATTACTAATTCTGCAGTGAGCTTTTTTGTAATATATCTTCTTTTGTGTCAAAGTAATTGGAAAGCTCTTGAACCTAACTCTCTACACTACTTCATGAGTCTTCCTGAATGCACACGTGTTGCCTGCGCAACCTCCTCTAGCGGGAGAAGATATTGAGCGACTTGGTATGACCAACCAAATAAATGCACCATTACAGTTCGTTGATAACAATTACGGAGTATATTTTACGAGTGGGACCAATTTCCTTAAATGGTGAATTTTCATTGAATGAGTATACTAATAACATTGTTTTGAGGCCTCTGAGTATCCATATAAAATGGTCACATATTTTTGGCTGGTCTACTACCGTTGTAATAATATACGTTGGCTTGATGAACTAAAACAATCGCAGCAGGGTTTGAGGTGGCTGATGATGTATTATTTGAGCTTAAATTGCCTAATATACTGGTTTTGCTCATTTTATAAAATTATTTATTTATATATTTTTTATAAAATAGTTGAGTAAGGGTAATTTAGTCAATTTAGAGTTTAAATTTGTCTGAGTGATGTATTTGCACTGAATTGAAATTTAGAAGTGTTTTTTGCACGGTGTGTGATATGCATTTTAGAGGTGTTTTTTTACGCTTAACCCATTCAATGATAAGAGGACACAGAGCAAAGAGATAAAATTCAGAGAGAGGCAAATAAGTTGTTTGAGACCGTAGTCGGCCAGCATCGAGTTGAAACTTGAAAGGGAAGTGATGCTGCATTGAAAGAGATGTTGGGGTCGTACAAAATTAGGGTTTCTCACAAAATGTAAGAAATTGTTTAAGTAATCCAAAGGCTGATACCAAAGGCTGATACACTGGCTTGTGTATGGTGATTGCAACATGATTATGGGGTTTGAGGTGGGAGATGAGATTTTCTCTATTCTTAATTTGCCTGATGCACTGGCTTCTGTGAATCCCTTGGATATGGTGATTGGAGTATTTGGGACGCCCTCTCGGTGATCCAGGATGCTAATAGAATTAGGATTCAAACTTATTCGGTATGGGTTAAGCAAGACTCGTGGACCAACTTATTCAATATCGATTTGCAAGGAATTATACTATGGGCTGCACTTTGTTTCAGGAGGAATGGTGAGATACCGCTTGTTGAGAGCAATGGTAGGGTGGTCTCTTACGACCATGCTAACACAGCTGTAAAAAATCTCCAAATTTTTGGGGGCAGAGACTCTGTTTATATGGTTACCTATTCAGAGAGCTTCGCCTTGCTTGATGGAGAGAATGCTAATGTGAATTCTTATGATATGGTTGATTTCAAGGAAGAACCTGTTTCTAATGGACCAAAAGCACCAAATGCAGAGACACTACAACGGCATTCACTCATGCACATCAATCTTTCTTCAGCATATATTGATGCGAGCTACTTCAAGAAGGATACAAAATGCAGTATTAAGAATAGGTTTCCACCAAAGAATGAAGTCTTTTATGTCTTTATCCATGGTGAAAATCAAAATGGTGATATGTTGGCAATGGCAATTTGTAAGTTGTTAGCATTAGCTTACTATTTTTGTTCGTGATCAATAGTGTTACAGTGTGTACTTTCTTATTAGAGTGATGGTAATATGTACTTTCTTATTAGAGTGATGGTGATCAATAATGTTACAATATGTACTTTCTTATTAGAGTGATGGTAATATGATAAACTTTTAATAGTTTTCGTTGACTTCATTGTTATATATTCCAATGTTGCTATCATGTGGTCGTGTGTAATATTGCTTTTATATTACAGTTTACTATCTTAACTTCTTTTCATGAATGGAATATTGCTTTTAAATTACAGTTTACTATCTTAACTTTTTATCATGAATGGAGTTCTTTTTATGGAAGTAGATCTGTTGAGTTGGGTTGGTAAATTTAGGTGACTCCTAGCTTGTGCATTGAGAATTCCATGATCATGATTTTGAATATAGGTGTCATGACTATTAATTTGTCATGGTTATAATTTTTGAAATAACGTGTGTTTAGAACGTTCCTATAGCACTCTTAGGGTGTCAGGGTGTGTTGAAAGAATACTGAATTTTTTTTTTTTGATAAGTAATAATAATATAAAAAAGGCGTTCAAAAGGGGAACGCGTCCCTTAAAGAATACTGAAAAATTGAAAATGGAATTTGGTGTCGGATAACAAGGAATGCTTCAATTTAGTGAGGAAGGAGTCTGGACAGGCATTTGCCTTTTAACTTTATCAATTGCTGATATTTATTCTTGTTAAATAAACAGTATTTGGCTGTACTTGGATATTGAAATTCAACTTTGAATTAAAACTCTCTAAATAGCCAGTACTAATTTGGTCATATATAACTGTTGCAACTTTTTATTTTTATTTTTTTATATGGTATTGAGCAATGATGCAATGTAGTATTTCTATTTCTTGCAGCAGACTAACATCAATAATGTTGTTAACCTTGATGTTGTACACCATCTCATATGGTTGGATGTTGTGCCTCAGACACTCGGAAAGGTTGAGATCACCCCACCAGTGGGCCAGTGCTGATGGGGCTATCTCAAACCCTCCCCATTGCACTTGAAGCCAATATTGTGGTTGAGTTCATTTTATTATTTGTTTTTGTTATTTATTGTTGTTGTTATTATTATTATTATTATTATTTCGGTTTAAAGGTGGTTCGGTTGAGTTGAAAATTGACCATGAGCGCTACAAGAAAAGATGGGTATAGCGGCTAAAATTTTGTGGCAGCCAAAAATAAGCCGCCGCGTAAAACATTTTCTGATAATTTTTTCCTGCAGCATCCATGTAGGCGTAACCAATACTTTGTGGTGATTTCTTCCATATTTTATTGTACTAATTTCTGATTGCTAACAAGATATTAGTAGACATTTTTTGTGAAGCACTGGCATTGTCTCTTGTTTAAACCCTCTCAGTGAAGCAAGAGATGATCTGTTCCAAGAAAAATAGTTCTTTGTTGAGTTTGGTACAAGTGGCCAATTTGTCCCTGTAGTTGATGACTCTGTTTCCCCTGTAACCCATTCAGATTGCACATACACATGATATTGGCAATAGCGAACATGTACAGATCATCCTTTTTGTCTCGATTTTTTTTTTTTTTTTTTAATTCTCTAATTCTCTCCTACCTTTTCATCTGGTATCTGTTACTATAGTTGTGTTGATTCAGTTTTTGCCTTGAAATATTCTTCAACTCTCTTATTCAATTTTTTATTTTCCCAATTCTCTTTCACATTTTGAGCGTTGAAATTTGTCACGATGTTTGTGTCTGAAAGTTTTTATTATAGCCACTCTTGTCATTTCCACAAATAATTTCAAGTTCTGTTCTATTATATATTTAGATATGTTTGTTATTCTCTCAATATGTATTTTGTTCTTCGCATTTTAGTGTCTTTACATGACTTTCAGATGATTCGTGAATTTAACTGCTTTAATTTTTGTCTGAGTTTTCTTGAGAATCTTGCTGTATTGATCTTCGCTAACTAGTGTAATATTATTCTACTCAATTTGCAGGAGAACTAAATGCAAAACAAACATAGCATTTTAACTTTATCCTTTGTATATTATGTATATTTGCATATATGTATTTTATGCATGTGTGTCTGTTATTTAGTGTCTTTACATGACTCTCAGAGAAATCATTTTCTTGGACGTAAGTGCTTCAATTGTTTGACTTTGGACCTTCTTGTGAAAAAATTTCAGCCTTGATATTTGATAGTGTTATCTTATTCCCTCGGAATTAGATTTAAAAGTCTCAAGTGTTTCTTGGGTTGATATTTGTCTTGCTGGTAAGTGTTGAAGAGATTTGTTAGAAATACTATTTGATGGAGTACTTAATGGAGAGATTGTTCAATAGGGAATCTGTTCTGTTATTTCCTTTTTTTTGTTGCACATTCATGTGGTTTCCAATTCTATTTAATGGAGTATATATCTTGCATGGTTTATGAGTTTTGGGATTTTGGAAATGTCAATCTGATTGAACTGAAACTGAGATCAGTACTTTCATTTATGTGATTGAACGTGGCAAATTATATCTTTTCGTTTGTGTATTAAGACCAGCCACATTCATGTTGTCTATTTTCGAATGGAGTTAAAAATTACTTAGCTTTCTGGTTCAAATTGGAAATATCTTAGCTATCTGTTATGTTTGCTTTATACGACACAGTTTCATTTGTTGGAAAGTATGAGCAATAATCTTCTGGTTTCCTCACATTAATGCGTTATTTTGGCTATTTGTTAATCAGGGAATTTAGCTGTTATTCGTGGCTATCGGGACAGGTATGTGATTCAGAGCACTGACTTGCTAGGTCCCCGCTGCATAGTTGATATTTGATATTGTGTACTGTATATATTTTGTATGATGAAAGGGGGTGATTAATTGGTTCATGGAAATTCAGAACATTTTCTGTGTAATGCCCCGCTCATCGGATTAAAAGGGTTTTCTCTCTTTATGATCCAAGTCCTTAACTGTGGTACTCCCGGATTTCTGGATGCGGATTGGCCAGGCCCACGCCCGATTATCCGAGGATATTAAACTAATTAGTAATAATCGAACACAGAATGCAATTAAAAAAACAGGAATAAATAAATTGCTGAAAAGAAACTAGAATAATAATCCAAAAACCTCAGAATAAAATTTTATTAATAAAGAATTATTCTAATATATCCAACTTCTATTACAACTCGGGAATCCATCTAGTGGACCCCTAAAAATCTCACTGAACTCAAAAGACTGGAAATGAAACCCAAGTCTAAAACATGAAATAAAATCCTGGTCATCAGTGGAGTGAATGACTGTATCTGCTCAGTACGATTCAGCTCTAAGTCTGGAACTAACAAACACCTGTAAAAATAAGAGTGGGTCAGGCCCACATGCAAATTCTTCTCTAACTACAATCCAAATAGTGACTCGATACGCAGATACACCCTAGATATCTCAACAATAGCTATCTAGTCCATACATATAGATATATCCACACTAAGGGACATTCACTGGACTACAGTAGGGGTCTCAACCTGAATAGAAGGCAACATGCGAAAACGCACCCAAAGGTGGACATGAGTACCTAGACC